AACAGAATCATTTATAAAATTATTTATCAGGCAGCTTGTAGGTATATCATGAGTCTAAGCCAAGTAATGATGAATGGCACTCAAGGTTGGTTGATCATTTTCCAACACTGTCTCTGGTAAAACAAATCACTGAGGCCACCAGGTGAGCTATTTTAATATACTATATATATATATATTGTGTTGCTGGGATTTCTGGCAATGACTTTCAGTGAGAGGACTTTTTAAAACACCATAAAGGATATATCTTCTATATTATTGTACAATTATGAGTTAACAATTTACACTATCTAGAAATGCTAATGTGGGCCAGTAGTGTACTCTCTGGAATTAAAGTTAATGTCAATACTACAACTATGGCAGGGCAACCAGGGTAAATGCCTTAAGTGCTGATTTGGGGCAGTCTGGGGATGGGAAGGGGCAAAAAAACTGCTGGTTATCACCAGCAGCTGCAGATCGCATCAGCAGCACAATGGCAACCAGAAGTCGCCAGCTGTGCTAGGCACCGTGTTGTGTTGCCGCTGATTCATGTTGTTCTCAAATGTATTTGCAGAAAGAGAGACTGAGAATAGTCTTGTCAATATATATTCATATATAAGTATGTCTTATTTATCTATATTGGTTTTTATGTGGGACCTTAGAGGAGTGGCATGTGAGTGCTCCTTGTTTTTATTAGATAGGAAGGTGGTGTTTCTCATTAGAGTACAATTATGTGGTACAAAGAGCCATAAAGTATTTGATGGCTGGCTGCCACATACAGTACATGTTTTATTTAATTTCACTGTTACTTGTAGAAGGTTATGGGTTTTATTGTTGTACCTGCATAGAGACTGAGAGCAAGGGCAAGATTTTCAAAGTGGTAAGTGATTTTTGATGTATCAAGTGAAGCGAAGTGGTTAAAATCATTCATTGCTGCTGACAATCTTGGTTTGAAGTCATCCTAGTGTGAGAAAAAAACCCTCAACAAACCAAATAACCAATCTGTTATACCTGCACATATGATCTGCACCATAAATTGTGTTGTGTGTTTCTTTATTGTCCAGAACATTAGGAAATACATTTACAGTGTCTTGGATGGGTTTGCAGTATTGGTAGTTAAAAAATGTTCTTTTTCACTTGTGAAACAAGAACACTGGGTATAGACATCTCTGAATGAAAATAAACATGCACAATTACCATGTATTTCCTTTTCAGTGGTAATTTTTTTCTCACAATAGTCACAGATGAGCCTAAAAATAATAATTTCTATTGGTGAACATTGAAGTTTCATTCATTTGGTTTGTTATTTCATTTTTGTGTCTGTGGACAGACTCATACATTACAGGAAAAAAACCTTGGACTTGACCAATTTAAGTGTGGTTAGATTATATCAAGAGTTCTCTCTGGGAAGAAAGCGCTTGCAAATTTTTAGTTAAAATACAGTCTGTTTTATTGCATTATTTTACCTATCTCTAATGTTATACTATGTCATTTTTACTAACAATTTATTTTGAAGTACAATTGCTTCCAAAGATCTATAGACTTGTTTTATCTAATAGCTTTTATAAATGGTGTTTAATGTGACTATAATCATTTTACTAAATCCTGAATATTTTTAGAACCTTATTTTTTATATAAATTGACTGTTTCTCTTTCATTTATAACCTATTGCTATTTTTTCTTAGCCACTAATTATTTCATGTATAAAATTCATCTTTTCCATCCCTAATGACAATGGCTAATGATGCCATGACTTGAAGCAATTACTGTTAAAAAGTTTTCTCCGCAGATGAACACCTATTCCTTTTTTCCATTCCAGTATCAGACTGGTTTATGTCTATAGCACTGAAGCATTTTGCAATCAGTTTAACAATCAGAGACTATTTCTCATTGTCTGAATATTGCTGATGAGACGCAGAATCTTACTCTTTCAGACTTTACAATACTGCTCAACCCCATTCATTCAGCCTCTGAAGCATACAGATAAATGAGTTTTCGGATGAACTAGAAATATTCTATTGTATTAAAGCAATAATGCTCAACCAGGATGCTACTGCATCTTGGGGTGCCTTGAGATCCTTTCAAAGGTGATCTGGGGTGCTACACAATGTTAGCACTGTTAGATGTGCAAACATGATTCACAAGATAAACCCAGAGATTTCAAATAGTAATCCACTGCCGTGTCTAGAGGAGTGCAGAAGTTTGGTTCCCTGGGGACAAGTAGCAGGAACACACCTTGTGCCACTGCTGCTTGTCCCTGGGGAACGCCTGTGCCACAGCAAGTTACCCAAGTTACCCTGGCACACAGCAACGCTGGCTCCAGCAGCTTTACCTGGGGTCCTGGGGGCTGGGGAAACTGCAGCTGCAGGGCTCCTGGCCAAGCTCTGGTTTTAAGCAGTGCACATTGCCACCATGTGCACCACCCTGCTTTTTTAAGGTGCAGGGTTTTTTGACCCCAGGATCTCCCAGGGTCAAAAAAATCCTCTGCATTACAAGGTAGCAGTGCAGGGAATGCTTGAACGTGCAGTATGTGGCACCACAGATGGGTCTGTGGTGCCATACATCCACAGCTGCACTTGTTTGGGCGCAGCCCATGGATGTGTCCTCATGAGCAGGAACGTACGTTCCACAGGGACAACTAGCAGCAGCACATATTTGCGCTGCTGCTAGTTTTTTCTGAGGAACACCCCAGCACATATGCTCTGAAGCATGGCAAATTGCCCCAAGTGGGATAGGGGATGCTGGGCTGGACCCAGCAGCCTTACCTAGGGATCCAGTAGTGGCAAGGCGGGAACACGGAGCCTGACCAGTAGCCAGAGTGTAGAGTATATAAAATAAAATCTTGCTTTCTTTTTTGCATGCTAGAGATATGACTTGCTGTGACATCCAGTGACTCTAGGCATCCTATTAACAGACTTATTAGATATAATTTTTAAAATTTAAAATACTCTAAATAATATCCATACCATACTATAAAAGGGAGTTTCTTGTTTCAGATCAGGCCATGATACAGATATTGTTGCAAACAAAATGAGCTATGCCAAAGTCAATGGTTTCATTTTGCAGAGGTTTGGGTGTATATTTTGTGTTTCACTTAAGTACACCAGAAAGCTCCTTTGATTTTTTGGTTCACTGAACCCATGAGGCTCAAACCACACTACTGTATTTTGCCTGCTTGTGGACCAAAACAGATGAAATCCTGATCCCTTTTGCTTTTCTTTTGTGAAATAAGCAATTAAATTTTCCATGGAACAGAAATTTTAATTCTCACACAGAAACCTGGATTATCAGGATATCTGGGCTTGATGTCAGCTAAATGAACTAGAGCTTATAGATGAAAACCTTATGTTTTGTTTATGTGTGCTAGAGATGTGACTTGCAGTGAAATCCAGTTAGTTCCTCCCCTAGGTAATCTTAATTATTATTAATTAACATTTTTATGAAGCCTCATAAATGTGAATAGTGCCTTAGATCTTCTCTCATAACTTACTGGTAATATTGCTGAACACCCCCCCCCCCAGGAAGATGACTGGTTGTGGCTTAGCTTTTATATTTACAGGAATAAGCTATACAGCAACAGGTCCATTTATAATGAATAACTATGTCTACATAAAGTTAAACTGCTTTAAGTATTTCAATTGTTAAACTTCTAGCAGTGCTAACACTGCGTGTAAATGAGTCCTTAAATTCTTGTTTCTTTCCTTGTTTGAATGTTCACCAGAGTGTACTACCAGTGGTATTAAATAGTAAATATGTAATACAATTTTTTCTTGCTTAGATTCATAGTCTTAAGGCACCTGCCAGACGTTACATATATTATGCAATTAACTGGTTAACCACGCAATACATTTAGACTGACCACACGTGCAAAGTAATTATCATGCCATTCAAACGTCCATCCAGCTATAAAAATAACCAATCAGCTATGAAGTTAGTGCTTGAAAATGTATAAAAACTTTACAGCAAGTATCTATCCAGCTTTAATTCGAACATGTGGCAGGTCCCCAGGTTTGACCATCAAATGTTCTGATACAAACATATCAGCACATCTGTTTCTTTCACTCCTCTTTGAGGGAATGTTTCATTAGCCAGCAAATGGAAATGTTTTTAAACAAAGTACTTGGCATACACTTATATGCAATATATGTAAACTCCTCCCCCTTTACAGTGAAAATAAAACTGGCACTCACTATCACCTTTTTGAGCTTTGGCATTTCTGTGTTGCTACAAAATGTGTACCACATATACCAGGATTGCTGTCTACAGTTATTTTTTAAATGAATCACTGTACAACAATGCTATAGAGAGCCAATTAAAAAATACCTAAATGAAGTTTACAAGGTACTCAGATAAATTTATTTGAAAGAAGGAGGAAGATATTTGAAATCAATAGAATATGCATAATCAAGACTAGGGCCCCAAGGGATTTTATTTTACTGATTTTTTTTTTTTTTTAGTTTTAGTGAAGTTTTCATTTCATTTAATATTTATTGGCAGAGAAGTGTCAATGATGATTATACTGGGAGAAAACAGAAATATGGATAAATAAATAAATAGAAATATCGTATGCTTTTATTGTCAAGGATGTGGCTGTCATGCAGCTTAGTTCCTTTACAAAATCCAGTTTCAAATAAAGAATCATTTGTAAACTGTTGTAGAATCAGGTAGTTAGTTCTGTGTACACAAGCACACCAGGAAAGATGTTTTAGTTGCATTTGTAAATGCAAGTGTAATGAAAATAGCCAGGCTTTGAAACGTGCAATTCAGTAAGGGCCATGAAAGAATTCATGGGCATACTGATGATATTTCTTGGCAACAGACACTCCATTACTGTACAGAAGTCAATTTAAAATGACTGATTTGTTCAAGTGTGTGTCAAGTTATTTGTAGATCAAAACTTTCTTTGCTTGCAATGATACCTGCAGCTAATATTGAACTACTGTAGCCAGCAACATGTAGTCATTAGTATCATACTGTTAAAACACCTTCTTTAGACAATTCTGTTAGCAAACATGGTTATTTACCTGTCATAGTCTTGGCAAATCTCCCCCACAGCTACCAATGCTTTCAGGTACTCATTGGGTTGATAGGGGTGAATATAGTGCAGTGAGCAGCTGTTCCTGGGATCACCGTTTGATGCTGTGAAATCTATAGCTACCTGGAAAACAGGAGGAAGAGTAGCATTAGGTAGTTGTTTCATGTATAGGTATCACGATTATATTTCTTTATCAGAAGCAGGTGCTTATAAAAAGCTCTAAAAGAAAAACTGAACTTAATCAATTTAAGCTTACAATAACACTTTAGTAGCACCACCATATATAGAATTGAAATCAGCATCAGCAGAATGATCATTCTGCATTACAATATGTTTTTTTAGCTAGCTATAATAGGTGATGTACAATATTATACATAATGTATATGAACCCAGCTTGCTTTTTCTTGAACTTCATTACTTAGTTTATCTAGCTTACTTTTAATTTACATTATAAAATCAACTCAACCAAATCTAACTTTTGGTATTTTATTTAGAGAATGCACTATTATAAATCTATCTAACTAATTAGCCTTATGTTCCGGAGCTCAATTAAATTTTTCCCATTCACATGCTTCCAGATCCATACATCTGTGCCTAGTAAAATGTCCCAGAGTCAAAATCCCTATTAAAAATATAAATTACAGCTCCAGATAAGGTCAAATTCCTTCCTTCATTTTTAGTTGCTGCTAAAACTTGCTATGATTTTAGTAATAATAGTAATTAGTCCTTATAGAGTTCTTTTCATCTTCAAAGAATTCCATAACCATTAACTAATTAACCCTCCCTATTTTGGAGATAACAGGAAGCTTGAAGGTGAGCTTCAGGGCAAAAATAAAACTCGAGTTAAGCACAGATTTTTGCGCTAAATGCACCCACCATACATTGCATGAGACATTCAGCAGAACAGAATTTTAATAAACATTTTCAAAACTATTTCTTTTTTGGAATTCTCTTTGTACTTCCTAAATCACTAAGGATATCCCGAAACACATCAGTCTTGTGACATTGCAATCATTGGCTGCAAGAGCTGGAATGGCATTTCTGATATTTGTGATGCTGCATTCTAGAATCTCTTAAGTGAACCAGTGAGAATGAAATAAATTCACAAAAGTAAAGAGCAATTTAAAACAATCCTATAATTAAAGCTTATTTCTATAACATTCCTTTTCTTCCCAAAACCTGTTACTTACATGGATATTCAGCTCTCAGTTTGGTTTGTACTGTTATTTTGCACTTCACCTTTACATGACTCATCCAAGGCTACAAAAGAAATTACTTCATATTTGAATCTATAAAGAGAAAGTTCCTGGCTTCCCTCTAGGTTGCTCACTTAACATGCCAGATTCTTCCTATTTCAAAAAGAAAGATCTCTCCTGCATGAAAAGCCTCCCAAGATGGCGGCCACTCCTGCGGACCAGGAGTAGACCAGGGTGATGGTTTGGGAAAGGCATGGGAAGCAGAGGAGAGGGGAGGTTGTAGGCTGGAATACCTGTTCACTCCCCCTCTCAGGAAGATTTCTAGCACTATAAATTTCTCAAAGACTCACAGTGTTAGAAATGAACACCTGTCCACGCCTACAACCATTTGCCATCCAGAACTTGGCCTTTCTATCATGAACTCCTGCAAGTTATTAACTGGGGGATTTGAGAGAGTGCTCCGTATGGGAGAGCATGCTTATTAGGGCTATGCCGAAGCGTTGGTTGCTGATTCGATTCAGCAGAGATTCAGCCTGATTTGGTGGCTGAATCTCCGAATCCAAATTAAATCAGGAGACCCTTTAATCTCTCTGAATTGAATCAGAACCCTCCAAATTGTTTCAGAGAGATTCGATGATTCGGACATAGACACAGCTTTAAAAGTTTTTTTCTATATACCTCAAAGTACCAGGTGGCTCATGAATGCTGAGATGTTGGGGCAGGTGGAGCATCCCATGGGAGCATGGGGGGTGGTCCCCAGCGCGCTTGGCAGCAGACCCAAAAGTGGACCAGAAGCACTTTCAGTTCACTTCTGGGTCTGCCACAGACCGTGCGAGGGACCCTCCCTCTGCTCCCCACCCCGCAGCTTGGCGACTGGTGCCTCCTGGGTCTGGGGGGGCACCCGGGGTCCCCTCCACAGCCAATCACCAAGCCGGGGAGGTGTGGAGCCCCCCCACGCCCCTGTGGGATGCTCCATCTGCCCCACTATTTCAGCATTCATGAGCCACGCCTGGTACCTCAAGGTATTCAGAAAAAACATTTAAAGCTGTGTGTATGGCCAAATAGCAGATTCTCTGAATCAGCATCGAATCTTCAGATTCAGATTTGGCTGAATCAAATCACTGCCCCCTGATTCAGGCAGAATCCGAACTGAATGTGGCCTATTTCACACCCCCCTAATGCTTATTGCTTAATCTGTCTCTTTGTCCAGCAATGGTTTCTGCTCACATTTGGATGTGTTCTAAAAAACAGTGTTTCTTGTGTGACACACAGGAATTTGCAGGATCAAGGCCTGTGGAACAATATTTTTAAAAGCAGCTGTATATAATTAGGATTCTGTAGCTGTACATAGGTAACTAATTCAGTGGCCTGACTTTCAAAAGTACTGAGAGTATCACAGCTACCAGTTTTTGTGGGTACTTAGCACTTGAAAAATCAGGCTACCAATGTAGCTGTCTCACTTCATTTAGGAACTTAACTTTAGGCTTTTACTTTTGAAAATCTTGGTTCATATGATTATTTACTAATGTACTTGCATTTACTCTGGAATGCAATTAAAAATATTTTTCATTGATTTTAGGGTGATGATTGTTGTTTGTAATCCCTGTAAAACACGAACATTTTCATGCGTACCAGAGAAGTTGGGAACAGCTCTTAAAAAGTGTTTGTAGTGGCCTTTTTCACGGATAATCTCAAAACAGATTCTTAATGAGGTTGAAGTAAAATGCACCAGAGGGAACTGAGCTAGTCCTGCCATCTTGCAATGGCTGTTTGCCAAAGTCATGTGGTGCTTTTTAACTGAAAGTGATAGCAGCATATAGGAAGCAGTGAGTTCTATAAGCAAGGCAGAAAGTCTGTGGTTAGTGTTTGGGGTGAGAAGAAAACCTCAATGTAACATGTTACTTTGTTGGAAAGTGTCTCTGTAGTATAGATGTTCTCAGTGCCTGTGTATGTATAAACCACAAATACCTTAATTTCCTATTGCAATGTTTTTATGCAGCTGATCATTTTTCTCCATGGTACAATATTTTCAGTACATAGAAAAGGAACACATCTTTTCAATTCCATCACTAACTACAATTACAGCTCTTTTGCAAATGCATTATATACTTCCTTTGCATACAGTAAGGTCTTTAAAAGTGGTCAGGCTTTTAAAAAATGAGCCTCAAAGGATGCTAGGAAGATGGCTCCCTTCAATTTTCTGCAAGAAACAAAGCTACTCCTTTCTTGATGCATTGCACTGCAGCTGTTTGGTTTTGATCCCTTTCTATCTTAGCTTCTTTAGTGGAGAACTTCTAGGGAAGGGTGGAATTATATTTTCAATGGTGCCAACCTAATAGCATGTAGCACCTCTAGCTTTGTAATGCTTTAGGCTGCGGATCAGGGCTATGTGTATGCATGTAGGGA